TGTGGAGGGGTGCTTCAGAGAAAGGAAGCTGGGATGAAGCACTGTATGCCACGAGAATACCAGGGCAGTGGATGTCGAAGTGTTTAACTAGATTCGAAGCTGGAAACAGCCTCCCCAGCGGGCGAACCCTAGGACGAGGCAGTGACACCCAACTCTCAGCCTTTGAACCCAGACCTGGCAGCTTAGGAGCATGTCTCCCGCTTCCCCAGGCAGCCACAGGCTCTGGCTGAAAAGCGAGGTGGGGGTAGGGATGAGAGGGCTCTGCGAAGAAGCACAATAAACAACTCAAATATGAACGGAAATGACATCAGCAAAGTGAAGGACCTGTTTATTGCAGATCAAAACAAAACAAACTTCCAAACCTTTTGTGTACACACGATAACTCTATAAAAAGCCCTCCTAAAATGTCACCAGGGTCACCACATCAGCATCCCAAGAAAACAGATAACAGTTACCATGGTGGGGAGGAGGGGGGGAGGTAAAGGGAAAACGATCGGAGAGGATATACAACCAGAAAGGGCCAAAAAACCAGCTGACTTTCCCCCCCCCCGACTCTGCTGACCCTTAATATTTATTGGTGTTTATAATCTAAAAGCCATGCTCTGTGTTTCACTTAATACAAGGCCAGACAGTGCTGTCTAATGAGGCAGCATTACAATCAGCTTGTAATATTGAATTTTTAATGCTGCCAAGGATTCTGTTACATAATAATATGAAAAACAGAAGCTGAAAGTGGGCTCGTGGTGACAGGACACTGGGGGTTCCATGCAGGCAAGCGCCACAGCCTGTCTCCCCTTCCTTTTGTGCCCCCTCCCCAGCTCCTGATTTGCAATCAGCCCTCCACCCCTATACAGGAGGTCAGTGTGGAAACCAAGAGTATTTCTTAGGAAGTCCACATCATCATCATCATTATTATTATTATTATTATTATTATTATTATTATTCTCTCTGACCCAAAGCTATGATTCTCGAGTTTGAATTCTAGCTTATCTGGGATTAGGTCTGAAATGAACATTTTTTTGTCCCCTCCCCCCAAGAGACAAGGAATAAGGAGAGGGCATTGGATAGCTCATTTTAAGCAAACCAAACAATCTGGGGGGTGGGGGGAAATCACAGAGGGAAAAAGAACTAAAATGCTGGGGGTGGGGGGATTGAAGTCGGCCTACCATATTCACAGCTGCTGCACGCAGTTTACATTGGTGTAATTTAAAAGCATATATATAGCCGCCGATGCTCCTCTCTGCAATACCCCAAGACTGTAAATCTATAACCACTGCAATGATTTAGTGATTAAAAACATGATAACATATTGTGTAACTGCAAACCACAGAACCCCTGCCAACTCTCCTCTAAGATAAAGGGGGAAAAAAATACAGAAAATGTGTTGCTTGCAGCGATCTTCCTAAACCCAAAAGATTTTAATAAAAGAACCTATACAGTAGACGAATTGGAAAAGGGTGAGTGAATTGTATGTGAAGCCAGCAAAGGGAGGGGAGGAAAAAAGAGGCAGCTTTATGTGGGATTCTTTTCCTTGTACTAACAAATTACGACCTAAACATGCCTTTTCTTTTCTCTCTCTCTCTCTCTCTTTTTAATAGTTTGTTGTAACTGGACTAACTGGTCTTGTGTGCTGTCTTGCATATTCAAAGCTGCTTTGTAATCGGATCTGGAGACCCAACCTTATTTGCCTGAACTCAATAGGGGTTTCTTCCTCCCCCTCCTCCCTTGTTTTGTTTTGGATACGGTATTGTGGGTTTTCTATTCTTGCTGGGAACAGACATCTATGCAGGCAGAGGCTCTGGTGCCTTTAACTACAGAGCAAACACCTGAGAGGGGGAGGCACAATTTGTAACATGGCAGGAGGAGCCTAAAATATACACAAAAAAATAAAATCAAAGCAGCTGTAGGGGTTTTGGCCTCTGAGCAGCTGACCTGACCCCAATTCTGTATATTCTTTTATTTCTCCATCGCAGGATTCCTGCACCTTGGGTCAGATTCGAACTCAATGTGACCCTGAGGAGAAGGCAGTCACTAAGCCTGGAGAACTCCATATTTAATGGGGTGTGGGGGGAGTGTAACTGCATATGCATTCAGACTCCCCCAGTGGGAAGGGACAGAGAGAAACAGAGAAAGAGAGAGAGAGAGAGACACACAGACACAGACACACACACACACACACACACACACACACACACACACACACGTCTGTCCTGCTAGGCCTTGGGGCCAGCTCCAGCCCAGCTTTCTCCGCACA